GGAGATAGATAGACTGGCACTTTCTGGCCATAATAAGCACATAAATTACTTTTTTTTTTTCCCCCTATCAACAGGATTTCCTTAATTATCCTTTAAGCTCTTTTCACTGGACACTTTCTCTCCCTATCTTACTGTGTTCATTTTATGTGGGGCCTCTCAATTTCTGTGATCCAGTCTTCTTGTTCCTCAGCCCCATTTACCAACAAAGGTGTCACATTCCCACTCCATACCTTTGTAACTAGGTTAAGGATCAGCTTGCACAGGCAAGCTGCAGTCCCTCAGGCTATTCAGCACTAAGGGCCTAATCTACACTCTGCTGAAATCATAGCCTCTAAAAGGTTCAGTACGTTTTGACCAACTTCATTGCACTTAGAGGAAAGGCCCTGTATAACTGTATCTGCCCCACTGCACAGCACATCATGTTCTGTAACTCAGTATTTTTGCAATACAGCACATTTTTTCTACAATTTGAAGTATCATTCAGCCCTACTATTTTTCTTGTGTGCTGCCCTGCACAAAGCACTGAGTGTTCCTAAATATAAAAGTGCTAGGGTTTAAAAAAAAAGGCATGACATTCAATATCTATATTTAAATAACTGGGGAAAGCATTGCTTACAGAACAGAAAGTAAAGACTATATAATTTGTGTGTATCATTGGAGGTGATATTTTCTTGCTGAGCAGTACAGATGAGTGCAGGCAAAGCTGGGTGCAGATGAATGGACAAGCACAGATTTGCTCTGAGTTTCCTCTTTACCAAATGTGTACAAACCGAAGCCTGTGGGTTGGTTTTTTGGTTTGTTTTTAATGGGACCAAAACAAGACAGTTTGCAAGGCAAGTGTCAGTCGGCCCTTCTAGCTTTTGATTTTACAAACCTTCCTATATTTATTCCATCAGGGAACAACAGACCTGGGGCTCTATGTCTAGCCGATGCCAGGAGCGTGGTTAGGAGCAGGAGCTTTGACCCGGCCACATCTCTCTGCCTCTGGAGGGAAAAGCAAAGCCTTCTCTTAGGGCTATTTCAGCCAGGGCCCCAGCAGCTGCCCAACGACCATTTCTGCCTTTCAAATCCTCTTCCCCTGCTTACACAGTCTACAGCTAGTATTTTTTTTTTTTTTTAATCGAAGAAAGGCCTCCCTGCCTAATCTAATTCCCGCTCCTTTGTCACAAGCAGATGTCACTTTTACATCTGTGCGTCTGCTCGAGCGCCTCGTC